TCAACGGACTACAAAGTCTAGCTGCGACCTGTTCCAACTAAACAGTCAAACTCTCTACCTTCGGGCAGAGAGGAACCTGGACGAGGCTCCGCCGAAGGGCAGAGTTTCGTTCGGGGAGGTAGACTGCCCCTGAACCCGTTTATACGCGTTGGAAAGGGAATATTTTTGGCCGATCATACGGGCTCGGACAACCCACGCTAAACCGGCCTTGTGCCACATGCAACCCTCGTGGGTGGGTAGCTAAATATACTAGCTGCGACCTGTTCTGGCTAGACAGTCGAACTCTCTGCCTCTGAGCAGAGAGGAACCCGGACGAGGCTCCACCGAAGGGCAAAGTCTTGTTCGGGGAAGTAGACTGCCCCTGAACCCGTTTATGCGGGTTCAAAAAGAGAATATTTTTGGCCGATACTACGGGCTCGGAGAACCCACGTTAAAGTGGCCTCGTGCCACATGCAACCCTCGTGCGGGGTAGCTAAATATATACTAGCTGGGATTTGTTCCAGCTGTGCTGGTTAAACTTTCTGCCTTCTGACAGAGAGGATCCCCAGACGCGTCTATGTCGAAGGGAAGAGCCTCGTTTCAGGAAACAGATACCCGATTCCGTTTTATACGGGGTCTACGGAAACTTTTTGGCTGAGCTTACGGGCTTGGATACCTCACATTAAATTCGGCCTTGTGCCCCATCTGATCGCGTGGGGCGGTTAGTAAATATACTAGCTGGGATCTTTTTCTCAGCTCTTAGCTGTTGTCGAACTCTCTGCCTTCGGGAATAGAGGAACCTGGACGAGGCTCTGCTGAAGGGCCGAGTCTCGTCCGTTGAGGTAGACAGACCCGAACCCATTTATGCAGGGTTACGGGGAATTTTTGGCCGAGCCTAAGGGCTCGGATTGCCCCATATTAAATTCGGCCGTGTGCCATATCCTACCTCGTGAGGAGGCTGGTAAATATTGTCTAGCTGGGATCTTAGACTTCCCCAAGAACTATCGACCTTCCAATAGTAGCACTCACTACTGGATTGACTTGCGACGACCTTGTGCACAAATGTTACTTTTATTCTTATTGTATTGGTTTTTACAATAAACCTTTACTTATTTTATCCACCTTGTTTTTCAAGTATATGTTTCTATTAGCACGGAATATAACATCGTCCGAACCTTTGCCATGAAAAAACCGATAGAATACCAATGGGCTCCTGTGGGTAAGTGGCTATGGGGTCGGAAATATGTCTTCTCTTCCAAGGCAGCGTAAATGACCTTGAACTTTAGCAAATCAGGAAAGAGAGGAATGTGTAATTCCAGCCCAGGTATGGCAGCAATACTCCGTTCTTGACTTTTGTAAAGATAAATCATAGTAGAGCCTATCAGGTACTTTTTGGAACGATAGAACGAACAGACTATTTTTCTCGTATCTTTAGCAATTGGTTGTATACATGAGTTCCATTTAGGATCTCGAGTAGACCTCACGGCCAACAGAAATAAGAGAAATTGAGAGAAATGCCGTTCATCGTGAATGGAGAAAAATCTGTCTCATCGGGGGTCATGAAATGAAAATAGTTTGGGTTTTGAGTTATTGAAAGTTACAAGCCAGTTCTTTCGCAAACTCCATTGAACTGTTTAGGCTGAGAAAGCAACTCCCACGCTCGAATCATCTTTATTTTGGGATGTTTTTTCGTAAACTGTTGCATCAAACTCCAACGTGAAGCAACGAGAGTACAAATGGAGACATATCAATTTAGCACGCATTGTACACCATGTGTGGCAAATACAAACTGGAGAAGGTGGAAAAGTGATATGAAGATAAAATAGAAAAAAAAACAAAACAAAACAAAGAGCTTAACTCTGTCGGCTTTCGTAATTTCACCGTAAATCTATTTCTACAAAAAGCCAAACATCCGAGTTCGAGTCTCAATGAAGACTTGTTATTAATTTACTATCTATGTTACAAAACTCTCTCTTTCTCTCTCTCTTTCTCTCACAAACACACATACGCACACACACACGCATAAAATAACGCCACAGAAACTAAGAAGAATTGCATATTATAATAATTTAAATTATTAAACTGAAGTACTAAAGGAAGGCACGGTGGAGTAATGGATAGTGGTTCAGAATTGAAGAATCGAAGAGCCGAGTTCGAATTCCAGTCGAATCCATTACTTTCACTTACGTCCTATTACCCTTAGAAAAGTTATGAATCCTCTTCTTCTGCCCCTCCCTCTGTGTTAATAGCAGAACGGACTGGGTTCTATAGCTTTGGATCTAACTGGTCTACCGCAGAAAGAAATAGCAACCTACCGCGGGAAATAATCTACCTCATCAGTTATGTATCGAAAGATACATGATGGCCTAAGCGTGTATTACGAATGGTACATAACTGATAAGTGACGCAAGAAGAGGCGTTTTTTTTTTGTGTGTGAAGAAGGTTTGGTTTGGTTTGTTTTGTTTTACGGCACATCAACCTCAATGGGTCATTTAATACCGACAACTTTTTTTTTCTTTTTTTTTTTTTCCTGGTAATACTTTCGTTTTCTCAAAAATCTATTTTTGTTAATATTTTTTTCCTCAAAAATGTATATAGCTTGTAATATTATTTTTTCATAAAACATATAGCCGGCAACACTATTCTTTCAAAAAAAACAAAAAACAAAAAAATAATGCTCGGGGGGGGGGGATTAATTAAAAAAATATATCAATTTGCATTTAGTGATCATTTTCATCTTCAGCCACTCTGCAAACTCGTTTCCTTTATATACGAATATTTTATTCTCTTTTGGTTTTATTTCTATATATTTTATTCATTGAATATTCACACATTTTCTTGAATTTATTGATTAATATATAGTTTCAACCAATGCCTTCTTCAGACTTTTTCACACATATTTTGAACCTGGTGGTTTTTAGATGTTTTCTAGTACTAATTATTGCGTTATTACTAATATTATTAATGAAAACTTTTGCTATTTCTGAACTAAAACGCCATAATTTAAAACAACCCGGTTAAAGTTTTGTGCTTGCTTACTAAAAACAATAGTGACGAAGATACTAGTGAAAAAGTGCAATCAGTCTTTGTACTTTACGGTTGGCTTCTTGGTTAGAGAGGAAGGTAAATAATAAAAGGACTCTTTGACATTTCATCTGGTACGGTGGTTCACGTGGTAAACTTACAATTCAGTTCAATGCCATCTTCTACGCGTGCTAAATAGCAACACTGATGGTTATTTAGAAAAACGATTATTCCATATAAAATTGGCTTCTTGCAGCCATTAGTTCCGTAATATTCTAAATCCCAATTTCCAAGAAGATAGGAATGGGTGAACAAGGTTTACTTTATCATCAAAGTTTTATTATTTTTTCCCTGTATAAAGAAGAACAGAAGGTTTAAGAATGTTGCGAGCATCGAAAAACATGGGGGGTGGAAGCCTACGTGGAACTCATATATATATATATATATATATATATATATATATATATACAAAGTTAGAAAGCTCGAGGACAGACTGTTACAGATAGATAGATAGATAGATAGATAGCTTATGAAAAGACCAGGATAGATAGATAGATAGATAGATAGATACATAGATAGATAGATAGATAGATACATACATACATACATACATACATACATACAAAAGAACGCAAGAAAAAAGAAATTAGGATAGATAGCTTATGTAAAACCAGGATAGATAGATAATGAACAGACATAGATAGATAGATAGATATATAGATAGATGTGAAGACTCTCAGATAGATTGATGTCAAGACTCTCACATAGATAGATAGATAGATAGATAGATAGATAGATAGATTATGAAAAGACCAGGATAGATAGTATTGTAACCTAGGAAGGGTTAATGAATGAGGAATAACCAAAACGGAGGTTGGAAATGAAATGGTAATCTTTATAACATGAACAAAATATAATACTCGCTAGCGGCGTGAAGTAGGTAAACCACTGCTACTAATGGACTACTTAGACAGCCTCTTACGATATTTACCTGCCTCCCCATGAGGTAGGATGTGGCACAATGCCGAATTTAATGTGGGGAAATCCGAGCCCGTGGCCTCGGCCAAAAATTGCCCGCAGACTCTGCATACGCGGGATCAGGAATCTGTCTACATCTCCGGACGAGACTCTGCCCTTCGGCATAGCCTCGTCCGGCTTCCTCTCTACCCGAAGGCGGAGAGTTCGACACAGCAATCGCTTCCCACGCTGACAGCTCACGCTGCCAGCTTAGGCAGCATATGACCCCACTTACAATAGTGTCCAACGTATTTATGAAGATTTGGACATACTTATTAGTGTTCATAGGTACGGTGTATAACAAAAGAAAAAACGAAGAAAAAAAAAGAATGTTGTGAGCATCGAAAAACATGGGAGGCCAGCCTATGTAAAACTCATCTAAGGGATTCATGACATCAATCTTATATCAGTTGTTCAAAAATCAATGTGAAAATCAATCTTACATTTTAAAATCTTTCAAAAAATCAATGTAAATCTTATGAGAAGTTTCCATAGAAACTGCGTCAGGATAGAAAAGAGAAATTAAACCAGTCAAGTGAACAAACTGTGACAGTATTTCATTAAAAATCGAATAAATTTTCAGTTTTATTATAATAAATGTAAACACATACATACGTACTAAAACATATTCACACACACACACACACACACACACACACACACACACACACACACACACATATATATATATATATTAATAAATACATATACAGCAAAGCTTTCAAGGTTTCCTAACTCATCTGGGACAAATGATAACTAAACCACTATTTCTTGTTATTTAGTTTCTATCCACACTGATATATATATATATATATATATATATATATATATATATATATATATATATGTACTAACTGGTACTGAGAAGTTCACGGCACTTCCTCCAAATATGACGTTTAGTTATAAGATCTGATTTTTTGTGAAATTGGTCTGCCTGAGAACTTTCCCCCCTTCTCGGACTACAACTACCTTAAACTTGTATGATCTATCTATCTACCTATCAATATCAGTCTCTTCATATAGTATCTATCTATCTATCTATCTATCTATCTATCTATCTATCTATCTATAAATATGTACATAAAACACATACATAAATACATACATATGTCCATGGAAGCACACACACACACACACACACATATATATATATATATATATATATATATATATATATATATTTGAAAATCCACTTTAGCAATTTTAGCTAGTTCCAGCAGATAATTTACGTTCATTGAATTGATCTGAACAAATTTTGACAATAAGTGCCTTTGATATTAATGCATCTTCAAATCGAGAGAGAAAAAGCTAATAGAAGAGAATTTTCAATCGATCTTGGCAATCTTCTCCATTCGTCGTTCTTCGTCCGCGGTCGGTGAGAGATGCCATTGCTTGATATTGTGCATTGTCAACATCTCTTGACACGCTATTTTCTTTCCCTTCTATAAAATGCAAGTCTCACTTTTATCGACCTTCATTCACTTGGAAAGCTTTTAAAATTTGCTTTTCTTTAATCGTTTCTCCCAATTATTCAAACTTAATAGATTTATTTCATTATTATTCGCAGGTTTTGTTAATAAACACATAAAATTCCTATTTGTCTGTCCGCATTTCTATCAGAATGTTCGACTCTCTCTCTTTTTCAATTCATCATGTATGTGTCTCAGTTTCGAATATATATATATATATATATATATATATATATATATATCCCTTTCATTATATAAATTATTTATTAAGCAATATCTGATTACTGACCTTAAATAGAATTAATAATTCATAATATATACTTACCCTTTAAAGGAAAAACCATTTATATCATTTACTGGATTTAATACCACGAGAAATATAAGTTTTAAACAATGTTTTTTAAATATATATGAATCTCGATAGAACTTAATTTTCACTGAATATATATATATATATATATATATATATATATATATATATATATATATATATATATATATATATATGTGTGTGTGTGTTTGTTTGCATATATATATTTTAGACACGCGCCTAAAACGTATAAACATTAAAATGTGCTCAGTACAAAAATCAAAATAGAAAATGCAGAGCAAAAAACATTTAAAAAACACTAAAAAACAGTCTACATTTTTACCCAGGTTTTTGACCACAACGTCTCCTCAATCAAGTAGAAGGATGAACAATCTATATTTATATGACCCTGGGAAAAGAGAATTGTTGTAAGGGGGAAAAAGGAAAAGGGGGAGGAGGAAAAAATTTATTCATCCGAGTTCATACATACCCAAAAGATATTTACTTAAATGCCTGCATTTGACAAAATCTCAGTTCTCTCATTCATTAGCACATTTCTATTACGATATGTAGCAATAGCCAACTTCTCCTCATGACACAGTCGGCACCAGTTGCCATGGATTCTGCCGGCTTCACCTTTCTTATTATACTACACTTTACACATGGATTTCTGCCATATACCTCTCTAAACACCCAAATACAATCCGCAAGTTTGGTGTCACTTCTTTGGCTTTCTAGCCTAAAGAGAGGTGGCATGATTATTAAACCTCTTTTTAATATAATGCCTCTTTTTGTTATATATATATATATAATAATAATAATAATAAGAAGAAGAAGAAGAAAGAACAATAAGATTTATAATCCAATGTTCTTAGCAGTTATTTTTATTTTTAAAATAAAAGTGCTCGATACAAACTGTAGAGCAACATATCATAATTATTTTTATTATTGTTCCATTTTCAAGCGATTTTAGAAATAAACTTTCAAAGAAATACATAAAAAATGAAAATAATTATAATATATATGTGTGTGTGTGTGTGTCTGTGTGTCTGTGTGCATGCGTGTGCTTACGGTCAAATCGTTCTGAAACACCTGTTTTCATTTGATCACTAAAGTTAAGCACTGTCGAGCCAGGTCAGTAGTTAGGTGGGGACCGCTTGGGAGCATGATGTATAAAACCTACTGGTTATGGGTTTAGGAATTGAATCCCGCAAAAGCTAGAAAGGCTTTACGGGATTCAATTAATCAGCAACGTAAGATTTTGTTGAGTACTATGGCCCCATACTCCTTTGCAGAGTCTACGGAACTAAAGCTGGCAGTGTGTGTGTAATATATATATATATATATATATATATATTTTTTTTTTTTTTTTTTAAGCATTTCACCCCAAGCAAGGCGGGGAGCCACTAGGGACGCAAGGGGTTACAGAAAATAGGGAAGATCAGATAGGAGTGATAGAAGAAAGGATGGGGTAGTAGATAGATTAAGGCAACTGGAGATGTCGATTGACATTACACTTGAATAGCTGGAGATTATAACTCTCAGGGAAACAGGAGAAGGGAAGAGAGTTCCACAGGCGAGAGGTGCGAGACATGAAGCTATTAGAGTAGAAGAGACGGCTACATTTATGAGTTTCGACAGTGAAGGGGTGAGAGCGGGATGCCAGCCTCGTAGGGCGCTTGAACTCATGAAGTTTGGGAACCAGCGAATGCAGTTCCTTGGAGCAATTTCCATGAAAGTATTTGTAGAACAGACAGAGGGAGGCGACGGTGCGTCTGTGAGAAAGTGACTGTAGACGAGTCGCCAGGGCAGGGCCAACCATATTGCATATCCGCTTTGAGCCTATCAAGAACCCTGAGGCAAACAGAAGGGCGCCAGACCATATATGGCAGCAATACTCCATGCAAGGGCGAATTGTGGATTTGTATATCTGGAGGATCGACTCAGGGGGAGAAAAACTTCCTAGCACGGCTCAGGGAGCCAACTTTCCTCGCAGTGGACGAGGCAATTGACTCGATGTATTTATTCCATCTCAGGTCAGCAGTCAACGAGACCGAGAAACCGCAGAGAGTTGCTCTCTCAGGAAGTTGAGCGTCAGACATTATAATGGAGGAAGGGAAGGCTCTCTGTGGTGATTAATAGAGAGCAGTTTTGTCTTCGAAGCGTTGAAGTTGACCAGCCAAATCATGCCCCAGTTCACAATCGATTGGAGGTCCTTTTTCGAGGCGCACGGCAAGGTGAGTTTTGTCAGCGAGACTGGATTTGTTTTGAGGCAGGAATAAATTGTGGTGTCATCCGCGTAGATGCCGACTTGAGAAGTTACGGCGTCAGGAAGGTCATTTATATAGATAAGGAATAGAGTGGGGCCTAGGATGGAGCCTTGAGGAACACCTGCGTTCGTGGGGTAGGAACTGGAGGAGAATCCGTTGTGAACGACCTTTAATTCACGGTTTGACAGGAATGATTGTATTACGTTATATAATTGACCCGTAATGCCATAACCCTGATCTTGCGGAGAAGGCCGGCGTGCCAAACCCTATCAAATGCTTTGAGATATCTAGTGCCACGGCTCGGGCTTCCCCGTTATTTTGGAGAGTTCGGTAGACTGTTTCCGTGATGGCTGTGAGCACATCGGCTGTAGATCTGGCAAAGCGGAAACCATATTGCTTGTCTGAGAGCAGATTATTGGATGAGGTGGTTAACCACCCCGGTATTGATTAGAGCTTCGAAGATTTTGCCGAAGAGGGAAGGAGACTGATAGGACGGTAGTTGGAAGGGTCAGAGGGGTCGCCGGAGTTCTTGAAGACAGGAACGATCGAAGAGGACTTCCAGCAGTCAGGAAAACAACATTCCTTGAGGCAGTAGTTGTATAGTTTCGAAAGGGCGGGTGCCAGTTCAGGCGCGCATTTCTTTAAGACAATGGCTGGTATCCCATCTCCACCACTCGCCTTGTTGGGATCTAAATTGGAGATAACGCCTAGTACCAAGGTTGGGGTTATGTTTAACCCACTCAATATGGCCTCAGTTCTAAGGAAGTCGGGTATGGGTACACCAGAAGAGTCGAGCGTCGAGTTGATGAAAATTTCCGAGCAGAGCATTCAGCCTTGTCGGTAGAGGAGGTCAAGACTTCGAACTGGTTGAATAGAGGAGGTATGGAGGGTTTGCAATTATTCAATACACTCTTGCAGAGACGCCAATAATCTTTGGAGCCCAATTTGCGAGATGCAATACGTTCCTTCATTCGAGCCGCAAATAGTGACTTAGCATCATTTAGGACACGCTTACAATCGTTACGGGCGGCGGCAAAGAGACGTCTATTGCAGACAGACATGTCGCTACGGTATAGGTGGAAGTAGTGGTTCCTATGGGCGATGGCGGCTGAGCAAGCAGCCGAAAACCAGGGGCAGGAGCGCGACTTAACCCTATATTTCCTTGATGGGATGAAAGCGTCGATTCCAGCTTTAACCCAGGAAGAGACCTCAGAAGCACATTCTTGGACGGGAAGCTTAAAGACTCCATCCCAGGGGACATCGCGGAGGAAATCACGGAACGCGTCCCAGTCAGCTCGTTGATAATAGAACGAAGTTCTAGTGGTAGGAGGTTCTTTATAGGGTGTGGAGTTAAAGGAGATGTTAACCGATACTACTGTATGGTCAGAGTTACCAAGTGGGCATAGTTGCGAGGCGCTGCAGGATTCGGGGATGGAGGTAAAGCACAGGTCGAGTAGAGAGGCTTTACTTACCCGGTTGAGGGCAAAACGAGTGGGGAAGTTAACTATCTGTGTGAGGGAATGGGATATTGAAAAATTAAGCGTTTGAATGCCTGCATGGTCAGTAGTAGCATTCTTAAGCCACAGAGTGTGATGGGCGTTAAAGTCTCCAAACACAAAAATGTGAGCAAACGGGTGGAGGGAGAGAGCCTTGTCTATGTTGTCAGAAATGCTATCAAGTATCTCACAGTCTTGAGAGGATGGAGAGCGGTAAAGGAAGAAGAGATAGCTTACCGCATTGAGGAGAGAGAGAGACGGAGACACATGTATGACTGGTCAGGCGATTCAAGAGAGGACTCTCTGGCCAGGGGAGATGTTCTTGACGTAGACACCAAGACCGTGCATGTGGGTTAGAAAGTCTTTTCTGAGGAGAGGAAGATAGCCGGGGATCGAGAGATCAGAAGAGGGGATAGATGAGACAAGGTTTGTCTCACAGAGAGCCAGTACATCCGGGCCGTTTGCAGTGAGGAAAGATTCCAGACTGTAGAAGTTTGTTCTAATGCCCCGGATGTTGGAGAATGAAATGTTGAGGGGTTTAGGTGGTTTCTGAGATGCTGGTTTAGGGTAAATCTTTCGGTTTTTGTAACTCATGTTGGATTTATTTGCAAAGATGAGAAGGCCCGAGGTAAGAGAAAACAGACAGTTTCGACCGTGACGCGGGCAGAGAGATGTTGGCAAAATCCGCATCATTATGTGGCCTCAGGGCTGCCCACCGGAGGTGACTGCAGGGACACCTTTACACGCGCGACATGGCACTACAAACACCCCGGTATTATACAACTGTTGATCAGAGCAGCCGCTCAAGACGCTACGCAAGAGTTAGGGCTCCTAACTACCAGTCGGAAACAGCAACCAGAGAACTGTCAGCCGTGTACCCTCAGAATGAAGAGATGTTGCCACAGACTGCACGCATCACGGGAGAAACAGACCTGCACTAATACAGAGGCCGGAGAGAGAAGACAGAACCGGGAACCCCTTCCTAGACAAGAAACAAGGTGTAAGCCTCTACTCATGTCCAATAGAAGGGGGAGGAGTGTTGACCGGGCGGTAGAAGGGACTACCTACTCCTATTACAGATAACACAAAAAAGGACGACACAAAACAGAGGGAAGGATTGGAGGGGGAGATAACAGGGAAGGAGTCCTGGTTCACAATTGGCTATACTCTATCACATTAAGTTTTAACTTAGTATAAGTCCCATTGTCTATTCTAAAAAGAAATTGAAAATACGGTTACCCGGATTTATTATCACATCCAGTAAAAGACATTTAATTTTCCATTTTTCTAGTTTTTTTCTTTGTTAACATTTCGGATCGGGATTCCTTACTAAATTATCAAATAAGTAGCATCATTGGGACAAAATGCCTTTCAGTTGGGAGGGGGGAGGAACAATAAAAAATTAAAAAAACGAAAAAAAAAAAAAAAAAAAAATGAAAAATGTAAATGCATTCAGCTGGAGCGAAACGATACTTACATGGGCCAACAAGTGGGTGACTGCCTACGTCGTCATGATGATGGTGACTGAATAAACGGCTTTACCTTGTGTCCAAGCGTCGCCCTGGTGGGGGAGGAATCATCGGCCAATCCTCGGCCCCCCCACCATGTACTGGGCTAGGAGATATGCTTTCAATAAGATTTCAAAAAAATATATATATATATATATATATATATATATATATATATATATATATATATATATATATATATAATGTGCGTGTGTGTGTCGCTTACAAATGAATTGCCTCAAATAGTTCTGTTAAATTTTAGACGTGACAAAATCTTTTCTTTCTCATTAAGTTTTGTACGAGAAGCTGGCCCAAGATAGGGTAAATAGTAGGGTAGACTGGCTTCTCTAGGTTTGAGTGGCAGCTGGTTTATGAAAATAAAAAGAAATTGATATGCCATAAAACAAAATAAACCAAACCAAGGCACAGAAGCTAATCGTTCCTGATAAGATTCCCCGGGTCCCCGTCGATGAAAGAGACGACGTTGACTGTGTTGTCTCTGCAGAAAGAGAGCACATGGGCGCCATGCCAGAACAGAACTGGTGCAAACCCAGGAATATCTGGATATGAAGAAAGTAAGACTTTACCAGCTTCCTCATCAGATTGTCGGGAAGGTGTTATGCAAATGATTCCTTTGGTAGCCAATCACAGCAGGCTAATCCATCGGCAAAAGTCGGGTGCGAATCCGACGGCCTGCAGGAAAAGCAGCAAGGTAGCGATGGTCAAGCCTATCAAATGCCTTGGACTGATCTAAATTGATCAGCGTGGCTTGCTCGTCGTCTTTTACACTCTCTATGATCGTGCGGGTCAGATGCAGGTTGCTCTGAATTGTTTGGCCCCTCACGGCGCAAGTCTGCTCGGGACCCAACAGAGACTCGGCAACTGACTGCAAACGCTCCTACAGAATATTGGCCAAAATCTTTAACTCTGTGTTTAGCAGAGGTATGGGCCTGTAATCATCTAAATCCCGCCCATACCCTTACCCTTTTTCAACAGCGGGATTACACCTCTGGTGAACCGGTCGGGGACGTACCCCTGCCGAAACCAGTTGTTGAACACAACAGTCAAACCCCTAAAGCTCCATAAGAGTAGATACATTTTCTGGCAGTACGCCGCGTTGATTGCATAGCACGATTGCCGGGCGTTATCAAGGATTCTTGTTCGTGTTACCCAACACTGTTTCAAATTCGTTTGTGTTCCCGGTGTCTCAGCTGAGCTCATTCCGTAACTGTGGTGTTCCCATGTGGAAGTCTTTTCCGTACCCTGCTAGTCGTAATCCAGGGTTCGATTCCGGCGCTGCTGAGTTCTTTCACTCTCTCTCTCCGTTGGTAAAAACCAACCAATAAGAAAATCCCTTCATACTAGTCAATATATATATATATTTTAACAAGAATATATTTCAGTAAATGTAATTCTGTTAGAGCTCTGATAAAAAAAAATCCTTGCAGTTCCCGCCACATAATCGAATTTAGGCATCAGTGGGTTTGGTTAGTATCGAGATGGGAGAGATTACTTACAAACAGAAGGTACTTTTAAAGTACCTTCTGTTTCTAAATGAAATGTTAGAAGAATAGAAGCTTATTAAACTTGTATAAGGCGACCGAGAGAGCAATATTTCCATTCGCTATTGTCAATTCGAAACTCTAGCTAGCTGTATATGTGATATGTTAGGTAAAAGGTCAAGATATTAAAGGCTAACTTTCTAAAAAAGCATACCCATCTTTATAAAATATAATCTTTCTACCGCTATTTCTCATAATAGAATTTTGCCCTCATAAGTAAATCTTACAATCTATTAAGTTTAAGCCTTGCTTAGTGTCTCATAATTGTACATTAAAAGAATCTAAACTTAGTCATTGGCCGCAAATCTTCTGCATGTGCATGCGTATGATTGAATCATTTTGTGTATTTTACAGTCTGCAATGGAGAGTGCATTTCCTGCTAGGTAGTTTGTGGATTTAAGAATTTCCCTAACCTGTACACCCATTCAAATCACCTTGTCATAAGCAACTTACCTGGTGAGTCTTAATGTTAGAGTACAACTATTATAGATCTAGACATTTCCATAATGTTAACGTACAGTAGCATCACCTACCATTATCTATACACACTGCCACCCAGGACTTTTGGCACGTCAGTGTATAAAACTTTTTTTTAAACTTTAGTCGCCTGATCGACGCATTTTACCAAGCGAACGACTGATTAGAAACAAATTGATATTGTCGCCTTTGAAAAATGAATTTTCAGCGACGATTTCGTCTCTGAATCAAACGCGATATCCATGAAAAGTTCAGTTTTATATGAAGCTGCCTCTGTTCACAGACCGTTCTTTGCTTTCGATCAGCGAAGCAGTTGACTGAACAGGTCAAAGTTCAAGTTGGCTAATTGAAATCTCACCTTAATTACTTTAAAAGGAATTTTTTATATTTTTCAGTCGCTATCGTCATTTGAGGTATTGCTCTCTTTTTTTGTTTTTATCAACGTAGGAATCAATAAAGAGAAGCGATATATTTTCAATAGCTGTCGTTTGGTCGGTCGTGATTATTTCAATAAAATACCCTTACGAAAAGGAAGTAATCATTGTAAAATCTATGGATAGGTGATGGTAAAACTTGCGTGTATAGCACTGTGGTAAGTCAACAGCAACTATAGTTTGAGGCACATCAATAATGTCTATAGCGATAACTTTTACAACATTTTTGTCTGAAAGAATACAATCCATGTTTGGTGGCTGAGTTGGTTGTATAATACCCACAGACGCCATTATTTTGAAATTTGATTTTCAAAGCAAGCGGGCTCTTTATTTTATTCTCCATTTGTCCTTAAGTCTAAAAAAAGCTAAGTTTGAAAAATCTCTCTACTGATCAGTTTGGATGCGGAGGTATTGGTTAGTATTTGAGTCTAGATTTTGAGCGCGGATTTTAAGGCAGTCAAATACTTTTTATTTGGTAGACTAGTAGAACACAATCGTTTTGCCTCTAATTTCCAATCATTTGATATAATGCTGAACTACTGTTGGGTTCGAAAATAACTAAAAGTATTGTTATGAATAATCAAGAGTGATCTCCCCTTGTTTCGTTACTTTCCTCTTTGAGAGAGATATTTCTGTTTACTGCGACTATAAAAGAACACTATACGCGAACCTTGTATTCTCAGTTGAATAAAGCTTTCTTAAAGTCTACACCTGCGTACTTTGTCATTACAAGTATATCTACATTTTAAATCAGAACAAAGAATGCTTTAAATATAAAAGATTCCATCAGTAATCAAGCTTCCCGAAGAAGTCAAGACATTGATTGATTAATTCATTTTCAGTGATGACAAATGGAAAACTTCTTTATATGGTTTCAAATGAAATATACTTTAAATACAAATAAAATAGAAAAATATTATGCAGTACAATTACTCATAAGTGTTCAGGGTTTTTGACAAATGTGTTGCATAAAACGAGAAATTCTTACCAAATAAATAAATTGTATGAAAACAAAACACAAGGGAAAAACGAGTGGATTCTGGATAGAAAAGAAGACATATTTCTGTGCATCAAAGCTAAAATGTTCGTTTTTCTTGTCTTAAGTCTTATTCTTCCTAATATATAATAATTTTCTTTTATTAATTAATTGATTTGACAGATAACTGAATTTTCTTTGAATCTGGCTAAAGATACTTGTAGTTTGTTTGAAAATGCATTGCTAAGAGATTGTGGTAGAGGTGTCAAAATATCAAAGAATTTTCTACAGTTTAAAATCAAATAAACTATAAAGATAAAAAAAAAGAAACAAAACACACAAATATCTTTTAAAATTCTGTCTTTATCAGAATAATTTAAGACAAAAATGATGACGTAAAATGACTTTCCTTTCAGTGCTACTCGCTTTTTCTCTCGGGCACCAGAAATATGTATTCGATCTTATGTAAAATTCAGTG